CAATGACGCAGTGGTGCAGTGTGTCCTCCTCTCAACGTGCACGGAGTTCACCGTTGCCAGCATCAATGCCGGCTGATGATCTGCATCCGCCTGCACATGGTGGGCTTCTTCTTTACGTTCCTTCTTGGGAGGCCTTTTACAGTCCTGTTTCCAGTGACCATAAATTCCACAGTTTCGGCACCTTCCCTTGCGGCGTGGTGTACCCTCCGATGTCAGCTTCAGGACCGGCTCCTTCTTCTCACCGCGCCCACCGCCCTTCTGCTTGGCGGGGTTGTACCCGCCTTGCTTCTCTCCTCCACCAGAGGAAGACGACTCTGGAATTAGACGGTGACGGTACTTGGACAACCACTCCTCCTCTGACAACATGAGACGCCCGGTTCGCTCCGTGACGGAGTCGACCTCGAACCGGTCCTTAGCCGCCTTTAGACGCCCCACCAGATCTTCAATCGACAGGGTCTTGACATCCAACAAAGATCTCGATGGACACCGCAATTTGGGCATAGCGCTCGGAGAACTCGCAACATCTTCTTCACGACACGAAGCGCCATCGATGGACTCCCGAGCCCACGCAGTTCCTCCGCGAAAGCGCATTGATGCGCGGCGCCAAGTCGCGTCGACCATCTCACCGCCTTTCTTTAAACGCGATGTTCTCGAACTCCTGAAGCGATCGGCGGGCATGGGCTTCTTTCACCCTATCAAGACCCAACCTCATGCTTTTCACCGCCGCCCACGCCTCCTTCACCGTTTTCTTGGCTCCCAGCATCGCCCACATCTCCTTGGGTACGGACCGGAGAAGACCTCCCATGGCCTGCCGATCTTGAGCTCGCTTCATGCCTTCGCCGCCGGGCTCGATCGTCTCCCAGATCTCGAGCGTTTCATAGTTACATCAAGATGAGCATGGCCCACTCCGGTAGTTGGAGCGGGTCAACATTGGCCACATGAGTGAACTCTCCCGAACGCGGTCGCCAGCAAGCTTGAGGACGCGATCCGTCGCCGCCCATAGTGGCTCTGCGCGCGATCTCCGAGGAACGACGAGCTTCTTGCGAGGTGGTTGGCGCGGTGGACTCACCGAGCCGTCGTAGAACATACAACGTGGCTCTGATGCCATATGTTGGCGCCGCTGCCGAATCGCAGCTCGACGGTGATCGGCAACGACGGCGATCACGCGCACGACGCCGTCACTTCACTCACGCACGCGCGAACTCGGTGGATCTCAATCAACACGAGAGAATGGCGCCGCCAAACGTTGCAGCTTTTCGGTTTTCTTTGTTGCCTTTTATTCATGGTGTATACAAGGTCTGAGACCCACGATCCCCCGCCATGCGCGCCACTCTGTGCCGCGCCCGCTAAAGCGCGAGAGCGTTTAAGTACACAACATGGCGGTGACCAAATCCTGGCCGCACCGTGGACACAAAACGGTTCTCGGCTTCTACACCTCTCATCACACATGCAGCTAGCTATAGTTCAGGAAGTAAACATGCACTACTTAATTACATAAATGACTATGCAAGATCATGCACGGGATTATCTAACAAAAGATAGTAAGGCACATTAGATTTTAGTATAAAGAAAGGTCATGACCCGACGAAAACCATTATAATTTACTGATAACGGATGCAACTTCACCTTTATGAAGTTGCACTGCTCACTCAAACAGGCCGAAAAATTGAGCTCCTGAAATGCAAATAGCCTATATTGCATCTGACGCAAAAGTATATATGCTAACAAGTTTAATATTGTACTTCTTGAAGAATAAGTCAGAATAACCAAACCTTGCCCCTTGTTATCTGGTAAGCTTTGTTGTTCAGTCCAGTTATATCTGTTGAGCTAGACTAACAAACAGCATTGAGACATCTGTATAATATGGCAGTTTATTTTTTTAACTCATTACCTGAATCTGGCTATTTCCCTTAAGGCCCCCCCAATTCCACATCCTACATCCAAGACCTGCAGATTAACAAGGAAGACATGATTCAGAATTTATGAAAACTTCCTTTGATAACAAAATGTAAAACACCCTAAAAGGCACACTAAATGCGTCAGTGGAAAAAGGCTTCATTGACGTCAAATCACCAAGTGTGGATAAATATATACCATATAGTATGGTTTCATTAAAATATTTTTGTAGAAAACTCCATGTCCAACTCACTTTGAAGATAAACTTTGTTAAAAACGAACCTTGTACAGAACTAAATAGTAATATTCACAAATAGACAAAACTCTATTTATGGTGGAGAAAACAGTATTTCCGTATCCACATAATATGTTTTTTGTAAATTATTTATGGTAGAAAAATCTCTATGTCCAACTCACTTTTGAAGATAAACATTGTTCAGACTGAACTTTGTACGGATCCAAATATTAACGCTCACAAACATATAACACAATTTTCGTACCACTTTTAGTCATATGAGTGTATACTAGCTAGGTTCATGTCTGTCTATTTATCAATTACGGGCATATTTAGATAGTTCGTGATTAAAATTTATTAAAAGAAATGCTAATATTTGTTTTAAAATACATCTTTACATAACCGTTGTTTATGTCAGATATAGGTCGTAGTATTATTTTAAAAACTTGGCATATCCAAGCACCATAAAAAAAGCTCAAACATCTATTCTGCAAAATTAACAATGTTGTATTATTTTCTTTTTACCAACATTCATCCCCTTTTTGAGCCCCAATTGAAGGGCAATAAAATGCTCAAACCGCTTGATGCTTTCGCCAAGTGTTTCACCATGCCATCTAAAGGATACACAGGCAGAGTTGAAGCTGGTGAATGCGCCATAATTTTGACATGGGCAATGTACGTTGTCTAGTATGTTGCAACTGGAGCAAAGCTCAAACATTACCTTGGGGCGAAATGGAATGATTGACCCCACAAAAGTTCAACAAATCTTGTTATAAGATTGTAATAAGTGTTTGCCTGATTAGTATAATAAAAATGCACACATTTAGCTCCGAAACTTGTCAACATTTGAGTATGTATTTAACTTCGGTTGAAATTGAAAGAACGGTATCTACCATATGTGCATAGTTCGACTTCCTGAATTCTTTGTCCCCTCCATGTATGTCGTGGTACTTCTCATATCTGAAACAAAATGAGCAATCGGGCCTCCAAGCAGTTAGGAGGAAGGTTTCGAATAAAAGAACAAGAAAAATTGCCTCTTCTGATAAATGGTGGCATCTTGTTGTTTGGCTGTTAGCAAGTAGTATAATATATCAATACACTTCTATTATAGAGGCATTGTATATTTTTTTAACACACACATTAAAAAGAGCGGCATGTGTTTGTATTGAGAAGGAAAAGGGCAAGAACCCCAACAACAATCCTAGACACCCAAGAATCTAGAAATTCATCCACGCCCCATGATCAGAGCAAACTATGACCTCAACCAGGAAACCATACACACCAACCGTTTGCCTGCAGGATCCAGGGCAAGAGGAATATAAATGCCTTGAGCCCCAGCCAAACTACAATAGAACATCTGCTCAGACGCAAGCAACAAGGCTCCAGCCAAATTGGGAGAAAGGCCATACTCAAAATACACACCAGTTACAATGACCCCTATACAGGAGGATTGTGTCAGTCTATGGACTAATAAAAGGTGCTGCTAAAAATCATTGCCTATCGATATCATATATGGAACTATTCAGATTCTCAGTGTTCAAACTAAAGGGCATCTGTCTCGTTCTAAGTTGACTGAGATATTGTATTTTTGTATGTATTGTAGTGGCCCTGTTCACTTGTCTTCTGAGCCGTACTCTTTCAACGAAGGAACAGTGCTTTTCTCTCATAATAAATCAGCGAACAGTACTTTCAGCGATACCTTCTCAGCGAAGCGAACAGGGCCACTTTTAACCACTGGATCTCCGTCCATCCATCCATATCTGCCCCTTCCTTCAACTACAAACTACTTTCTAACTATCTCATGTCTCGTCCTCTTTCACTTAATCGCCAACCTGCCACGATGCACACCCTGGAAGTGGAGCACGTCCTGCCACATTGATGGAGCAGCGAGGTCCAGCCCTTGTTTAGTTATATTTCCCGTCGAACGTTTTAATTTCACACCCTTGCTCCAGTGACAGGGCTTACGGTTTGGCATTTAATTTAAAGATAATACACAGACATTTAGTACTCCCTTTGTTACAAATTTTGTCATTTTAGCTTTTTAAGATACATAGTCATCTTTACTGTATATGTAGACAACGTATCTAGATGCATATAAAACTATATTTCTAGAAAATTTAAAACAACTTATAATTTAGAACAGATGGAGTAGCATCTAAGTCACATATCACCACACATTAGCAAGGGACTGATTTCAATGTTTGGCATTTGAAGATAAGACAGAGACAGTACTGTTCAACAGCTGATTCAAATTGATCCCTGGCGATGTTTCGCCTTTGAAAGGCCCTAGAAACATTTGAGGCCCCGGACTGTGACATTAATTTGTGGTATTATTCTGCATAAAAAACAATTTTAGGTAAACAATTTATGAGAAAACGGATATAGAACAGATTATGACAAAATGGTTTAAGCTGATGTCCTAAGTCAAATCATTTGATTAGGTAAACAGATTATGACAAACCAGTCTCAAGCCACAAATAAATCAATTTCTAAAGATGTCCTAAGTCAATCTTTTTATTTAAGTCTGATGGAATTTTATAAAAAGAAAAACAACGGGTGTGTATTGGAGTTGTCGTAAATCAATCTTTTTCCTAGAGTTGTCCTGCAGCCCCTATCCTCAGCCAAAAAAAACATGGAGCTGGTCTTCAGACCTAGCCCGACAACCCCCTCCAAACCATAGCACTAGCAGGCGCCCGATACAAGTGAGGAGCCCGACGTTCAGCCACTTCCCTGCTCAGTCAAGTCACAATTCGTGAGTACCGACGCCATGCCAGCTCATTCCTGACAATCAGCATCGCTATCGCTGCCTACCTAGCCGCGGCTGCCTCCTGCAAGCCTCCTGACCGCCTCCTCCAAGCCACAGCCAGCCATGGCCAGGTCTCCAGCCAGCCAGCTGAGCCAGTTCTCTAGGACGGGTGCGTGGCTAGGTCCAGGCTGCCAGGTCGCCTGCCGGCTGCCCCTCCTCCTGGTCCTGGCCTCCTCACTTTCTCAGCCCTGCTCTCCTGCATGGTAGCACAAGCGCACGGCTGCACTCCTTTGATCCTGTTTGGTTGTCTGATGTCTACACGGTGAGCTACTGAATCCAATCATCAACTAAATTTCTCCTTTTGTAAAGTGTAGAACATGTGTGGAATGTGACAAGGGCAGTAGCAGAGGAGGCATATAAAGCTCGTTTAACTATCATGTTAGGTATCGCTTGATTTCTCCTTTTGCAAGCTCTAGCCTTTCATGGACATGCAGCCTGTTCTGGAGGCCGTAAACGATCGTGGATTATTTACTGCTGGCTGGTTTTGTGCGAGAGAAAAACACTGTTTCCGGCTGGAAATTTACGATCGTTTACGAGCAAGCGAACAGGCTGATGATGAGTCTAAAACATCAATAAATAACGTGAACTTTATGGAGATGCTTCAATGATATCGAAAGAAGGATCCTAGTGTTGCACTTGTGACCGGTGAAAATGCTCCAAGGAATAATCAAATGATTTGTCCAGTAGTTCAGATAGATTTGGTTAGGGCTTGTACAGAGGAGACAACTGAGTTAATTAAAATTGAAATAGGTGATAGTTTTTCTGCAGTGCTTGTTGATGAGGAACAAATGGCTATGGTTGTGACATACATATCACCTCTTAATTTTTATATTTCATTGGTTTTGTATTGTTGTTTTCAACTAACTATACTTTCCCCTTTTCTCTTGTATGTTTGTCAATGATAAAGGAAATGTGATTGAGAGGTTCCTTGGCATTCAGCGTGTTTCTGATGACACCACATCACCTTCACTAAAGGAAGCATTGGATGCTATGATTGCAAGATATGGTCTATCTATTTCCAGGATTATAGGCCAAGGATATGATGGTGATTCAAATATGAGGACAGTTTCATGGGTTACATAGACTGGTATTGAATGAAAACCCATTTCCTTTTTACAGCCATTGTTTTGCTCATCAATTGCAGCTTGTGGTAGTTTCTGTAGCCAAGTGTTGTGGTTCAACCTTTGATTTCTTTAATTATGTCACTTCTCGATTGTCAATACTGTTAGTGCTTCTTGCAAGAGGAACGATCAACTCATTCAAAATCATGATGAGATGCTTGTAGAGCAATTACGTGGTGGTGCTATTTTTCCTGTGAGACGGAAAAACTAAGAAACTAGTCTTGCTATGCCTAGTCATACATGGTGGGCCAGGTACATGTCACAAAACATTGGCACATGTTTTTTTCATGTGGTCCTTTGTTGCGGAGATGTTAGAGAATATTAGTGGAGATGGATCTGAAGGGCAAAAGAAAACTATATGATCTAGATTGATACAAAGAATGTAGTCATTTGAATTTGCATTTACATTACAACTTATGATCAGAATGGAGTATTATTTAGCCCCCCTTGTCCCTTTCTAGATCCACCACAGGCGCCCTGTGTGGTAACTAAATGATGGACTAGGCCTGTAATAATGGATCACAGGTGGAATATGTTTTTTTTTCTGCCCGTCTTAAAGTTTTACGCCTTTATCCTGACCTCTAGAAGGAAGTATTTGTCTAGGTTCAGAAAATAATGTACTATTGGAGACACATGTTATCCGCACATGATGAGCAATGCACAACGTAGAAAGTTTAAGGATCCGAAAATGCACTTTAAAAGTTGATGGATCTAGATGACACCTCTCCAAAAGTGAATGGAGCTGTGGTGCATTTTACTCATAATTTATCTATGGACATATGATTCTATTAAGGGAGGCTTCGTGAAATGAGAACTTGCCAGCTTTTGTAATGACGTATTGACCGTTTCTATACTAGTCAGCCAAGACAGGTACTTCTGATGCTATGTAAAGTCTAGTCAAGAGAACGATGCGAAGTTAAGTCATATCTTAAGCAGGACATTGAAACGGTAACAAAAAGCAAGCAGTTTCGTAGCGTTCACATCAAAAACTATGCAGGAAATATGCTCTCAAAATAGGGGAAAAACACAAGAAAGGGATGCCATCAAGTTCTTTGTTTTTTATGCTGGAGTATGCATATGAGCGAATGAGAATAAGGTAGTGTTTAGTTCCCAAAATTTTTCAAGATTCTCCGTTACATCGAATCTTTGGACGCATGCATTAAACATTAAATATAAATAAAAAAATAAAAATAATTACACAATTTAGACGAAATTCACGAGACGAATCTTTTAAGCCTAATTAAACTATGATTGGACACTAATTACCAAATAACAACGAAAGTGCTACAATACCATTTCCAAAAAAAAATCGCCAACTAAACACTATCTAAGAATGACCTGATCACAAAGAGCCTCTTCTCAAAATGCTTCTTTTCCAAATGGTCCGAGGTCACCCCGACCTGCTGCCGGCAAAGGTTGCCGTGAGTAGCCTGTATTTATAACCTGTCGATCGTGATGGACCTGAAAATCGATGAATTATTTTCCTGTGAGCTGTCATCGTCTCCCAAGCAACATCGTGCTGCTGTCACCTCAAGGAGGTGGGGACAAATATCACACGAAGCTCAAATGGATTTATTGAGGTGGATGAGGTAACTATTTCTAAATAAAGGCGGTCGCATTTTAACAAGTTGGTGATGCAACAACTTCTAGACGAATGAGAAGTTAAACTGCTCAAACAAACCCATCACTATTACACAAATTGTTTTTTCCATCAACATACATCGCTGGTATTGTTAAAACCATGATATTGATGATAATATATCCTCTTAGTTGAGAATAAAACTGGCAGTAAAATCATCTTTAATATGGGTTTGGTTTGGGACAAAGATCGGCGGTGTAGGTATTTTGGGGCCCGTTACCCTCGCCGCATGGAGAGAAGCTTGGCCGAGATGGGATGGGCCGAGCCTACTAAGAAAGACGCCCAAACTAGACAGGACACATCAACTACTCGGAAGACAATATATTGCCTAGATAGCCTAGGGACCAAGCAAATCGTGATAACCCAATTGATCCAATAGGATCTCTTTGTAACAAATTAGGAAACCGTAGATTCATATCATTCGGCATACCACCTGTAACCTTGCCCTGGACTATATAAGGCGAGATAGGGGTGACCCGTGAAATACGATCAACACCTCATAGGGTACCACATGATGATGGTTACTAATTCCTTATTTCCTACCATCAACCATTCCTAAAATGAGAATATAAATGACATCCACCATAGTCATAGGGCTTAATTGTAATCAATTCCAAAAGTTTTGGTGAGACTATATGAATGTAGAAACAAGGTGACTTTGGGCATGGTAAAACACATCATCAAATGCCAAAATTCACTCCAACATGTCAAAAGAGCTCCTCAAGATACAGAAAATCAAGTTTTGGTTGATCCAATTCGGAGTCCTGACGAGAAAGTTACGCGGAATATCACAACACGAGTCGAGCTAGAAGTGGACAGAGATGTCGGACGACCCTAACTTGGGTCGGGCACATGGACCTATGTCCAATGGCCCTCAAACTCGGTCCAAAGCCTCTCGGCTCAACAATAATTCCATGGGAAGCAGTGCTGATCCAAGAATATTAAGTTGGACACGTCACCAATCCTCCGACGTGGCCTCTCCCATGGATGCACAGGCCCACCAACTGAAGAAAAAGAATTACGTGTCTCCGTATACTAGTATAACCCAAGCTTGTGTAATGGGAAAAGAAAGGTAAAGAGGGTGTGTTGTAACACGGCCTCCGAGAGTGGCGGAGACCTACGTAGCCAGCAGTTCACAAAGACGTCTCCGACCAACTACCTAAGCAAAGGCCCAGCTACCACGCCTCTAGACCTAGAAAGATGACGGTTTCTCAGACTACTTGCAGGACGCTACCGATGACCCTGGAGCAGCCTCCGCCCGGTTAACTCGTAGGCGTCTCCGGGCGGAGAGGGCGGAGGCCGCCCCGATGCAAGGCTAATCAAGTGCCAACGTTACCTATGTGTGTGTGCAGGTAACCAGAGGAAGGCACTCGTGGACGGCGCGGGCACGCCAGTTTGGCCTCCGCTCGTAGGGGCGGAGACCCAAGTAGAAGGATGGCAATACTGGGCGTCGGGGGTCTGTGGCCTCGATGTCCCAAGGGCGGAGACCGATGGCGAAGGCCTAAAGGCCCTTCGCAGAATCCTAAGGCCCGATGGGGCGGAGACCGACGGCGGAGGTCCAAAGGCCCGTCGCCGAATCCTGAGGCCCGATGGGGCAGAGACCGACGATGGAGGCCCAAAGGCCTGTCACCGAATCCTGAGGCCTGATGGGGCGGAGACCAACGGCGGAGGTCCAAAGGCCCATCGCTGAATCCTAAGGCCTGATGGGCCGGCTGATTGCGCAGGCCCAGTACCTGAGGGCGGCATGACAAGATTACCCCTGGGAGGAAAGGCGAGTAGTGGAATATTCTGAGAATGTACTGTAGCAGTTGAAGGGTACTATTGTAAACTCTGTAAAAGTAGTAGTTGAGCCCTATAAATAGATAACACTTGTAACAGTAGTAGAGGTTGGAAGATGAATTAATGAAACCCTAGTTTTACGTGCCATTTTCCCACACGCCCACTTGTCGTGCCTATTTCTCGAGCCTCCGCCTGAGGGCAGCGCTCAGCGGGCGGAGACCTCTACCTCCTCCACACTGTATGAGACCGCAAGTCTCAACATTGGCGCCCACCATGGTTTGGCCAAGGCAAACCAACGATGGCAGGGAAAAGAAAAACCACCATCAGAGCAGCAATGACCACGGGTCATAGAGGAAGGCCTAGGCGCACCACTCGTAGCACCTACGCAACCTCGCCAGCGGAGGATGACATCAGAGTGGATGCCCAGGGTCAACCACCGGAACCTCAAGATCCAGAGATTCAAGATCCGGAGGCCCAACCAAACTCAGCCACAACACTCGAGCAAGAACTGCAACAGCTGCAAGCACAGTTGCGAAGAGCGCAACAAGAGAGGGACAGAATGGCAGCAGCATTCGTGGCTAATCAGCAAGCTATTCAAGCGTCAGCACAAGCAGCAGAAATAAGGCAGCAGTTGGCAGTCCTACATGCTGAGATGCTAAGTATGCAGTATGTAGTACCAGCGTCAACCTCCGCAATCCCAGCCTCCGCAGCAACACCAACTGCAACCATACCACAAGGGCCTCCGCCAGTGATCAGCCCGTCCACGATGCCATCTCAGGTGATACGGAGACCTATCGATCCCAAGTCTCCACTCTCTGAAGGCATACAACAGTCGCCATGGCCAATGGCGTACAAGCTGTAACACCCTAGGTGTTTGGCTTCCACTAAATTGCATGTCATTTCATAAACATGTGCATTATCTATGTCATCATGCCATTATCATTGAAACATACATATGCAACATTCGTATATTCTGTTTGTTTCGTACTTTATTGCTTATGAATGGTGGTAGTGCAACCTGCGAATGTAACATGAGTTTCACATACTTTGAAACATGGCAACATGGTAGTAATGTGACAAGTATAAAATGACAACAAGGTCATGAAACATGGGAAACATTGCATTGCAACATTGGGTGAATTGCTTGTTTTGTTGTTTCATCACATGTGATCATTTGGATTGGTATAACAATTGTGTAAAGTGGTTGAGCATGGTCTAATACACTTTAACTGCACTTAGGGTAATTGTTTGGACAATGTTCATGTGGATCAAAATGACAAAATTGCCCTTTAGGAGAGGTTTGACTTGAATTGACCCCTAGAGTGGCACTGTTTGACTGATTCAAAAGTCCAACTTAGGGATCTTGCATGGCTGTGCACTCCTTACCAAAGTTGTAGCCAATTTATTAAGGAACAAAAGTTGTTTTATGATCAACTCATGAAAATGGCTAGAACATGCTCAAACATGGCCCACAAGTCATTTTTGTTGGTGGAATCAACACTGAAAAGTATTCTAAGTCCTAACTGCATTTTCAGTTGGATCAA